ATACTCTATAACAAAATACAAAGTTATCATTAGGTAAACAGCACAGTAGTAACTGTGAGTTAAGATCCACTGATGGATGATAAATTCAGGAGGCAAAAATTCTGAGGAGAAACAGGATTTTAGCAAAGTCTCACACCTAAGATAGTAATCAATTGTAAAGGGAAAAACAATGACTTTTTCCAGGAGAAATCTGGCAGACACCACGCCAACTAAACGATCAGGGAGAACCATCGTTAGGAGTGAGACAGGTTGACACCAGGTGCCTCCTGATTCTATGCACTAAGAAGGCATATTCTATGCGTATTTTGATCGAATATGCAGAATTTCAATGTAATCACGAGAAAACCCCAAACTCAGGGACATTCCGCAAAACAACTAAGTAGCACCATCCACAATGTCAAGGTCATGAAAGGTCACAGAAGATTGCGGAGAGTAAGGAAACATGACAGCAAAATACTAAGTGGGATCTGGATAGGAGTAAGGAGCAGAATAAACACTAGTAATAGAAATATAATAGAAAAATAGTAATATTCACTTAAGGTCTGTAGTTCAGGTAATAGTGGTATACTTAAAGTTAATTTTGTTTTTTTTTTTAATTAAAAATTTTTTAATGTTATTTTTGAGAGAGAGATGAGCAGGGAGGGGCAGAGAGAGAGGGAGGCTCTCAATTTGAAGCAGGCTCCAGGCTCAGAGCTGCCAGCACAGAGCCCAATTCAGAGCTCGAACTGACCAACCAGGGGATCATGACCTGAGCTAAAGTCAGACACTTAACTGACTGAGACACCCAGGCGCCCCGATTTTCTGGTTCTGATGTTGTACTTCAGTTACATGTGTTGTTAACATTAGGGAAACCTGGATGAAGGGTTTATATGAACTCTACTTACTGTTTTTGCAACTTTTCTGGTAAGTCTAAAATTGTTTTAAAAGAAAATGTAAGACAAAAAATAGCAAGGCAGTACTGATTCAACAATCTTCTGCCCACGCCTTCCAAAACAGCTTCCTTCCCAATGCTGTCCATCCTCCTCCTCCTCTTCTGTATTTTCCCTCCCATCTACTGCTACCTAGAACAGCAAATATTTTACTTACTTATCTGGTTTCCATTCCCCTACCAAAAAATAAGCTCTATGAAGACAGGCAGTTTTATCTGTTTTGTCCATTGCTCTATCTACAGTCTAGTATGGAGCCTGACACATACAGGGAGAGAGAGAATTAAATGAATTAAAATTGTGAAGAGGAAGGTAGAATAAAAATGAGAAAAGCACATCTGGAGATATAAAATTTTACTCCTGAACCCTTGAATTCCAATAAGTCCCTGTTTCCTTTTAGAGCATGTAAAGTGAGCATTTCATTCATCTTCTCATCATATTTACTGAGTAACTATTATATATAAGACACCTTAGTACGCATCAAGGGGATACAGATGACCAGGACATGAGCCTTCCTCTTCAAGGTTGAGTGGGAGAGAGAGAACGTTTGAGCAACTATGGACAGGGTGGAAGGGGCCAGGAGTCTCACCAAATATAAGTAGCAAATGCCGTGGGTATTTAGAGGAAGGAAGCCTATATAGGGTGAGAAGTAAAAGGAACGGTTTCATTAACAGTTCACAAACTCAGCAAGGCCTTAAGATGCTTAGGATGGGTAAGCAAAAAGCAAAGGGGTGACGGGCTGAGACCCTGGGAAGAGAGAACCGTGTAAACAAATCTAAACGTGCGGGAAGGAGGAGGCAGAAGGCACAGAGATCATTCTGGCTGGCTGGATCACTGGGCAGGGAAAGGGAAGTATGGAGAGCAGGGACTGGAATGGCAGCCGGGGGCTAGACGTGCCTGGTCTCAGGTTCCTGCCCAAGGACTCAGGTTCCTTGCAGCGGCTGGGTGCTCACCTCTAAGTCATTTTGAAGAGGAGGAGGGTGTTACTAGGGCGCTGCTCTACAAAAATTCTTCATGAAATTTTGGAAGATGGAAATCCAGACTGTTAACTGCAAGAAATTTTTGGGATCATCTTTTATAACTTAAAAAAAAATAGTTGTTTTAAGTTTGAGAGAGAGCAACAAGAGTGCGAGTGGAGAAGAGACAGAGAGAGAGAGAGAGAGGGAGGGAGGGAGGGAGAGAGAGAGAGAGGGAGAGAGAATATGAGAATATCCCAGGCAGGCTCCACGATGTCAGCACAGAGCCCAGTGCAGGGCTCCAACTCCGTGCGATCAGGACCTGAGTCCAGGTCAAGAGGTGGATGCTTAACCGACTGAGCCACCCAGGCGCGCCTGTAACTTTATAATAGAAACTCTTTCAACCTTTTTTCTTATGTTATGGATTGAGTCCCCCTGCCGTCTGGTGCTCTTCCTATGCTTACCATCCAGACTTTGTTGTGAATACTTCGCGACTTCCTAGAGCCGCGTCTGGGCTGCTAAACAACTTAAGTTGTCAGGAAACATTTTCTTAGGTTGAACTAGTACCTGTCTTGGTTCAATTTCTACCCACTGTCCTTGGGCCTACAGTGAACTGCTTAGCTCCTCTTTTACAAAATAATCCTGAAAGCCGTTGCACAGTCTTTATGTTTTCCTGAAGTCTTTTCTTCTCTAGGTTATACATCCTCTATTCCTCACCTTACGTGGGTTACAGCGTCTTTACTGTAACCTCGCCTGTGCCTGCACCCCGCCTGCTTTACCAGCGTGACGCTTGGTCACGTTGCTCCCATACTCCGCAGTGCCCTTCTGAGCCCGTTTCACGGCTGTTAAGTTTCTCTACGTCCTCAGTCCCTGCATGGAATCTTCCCTTCTTACTTCTTCTTCAGCTGAAACTCAGCTCTCCCCTTGGGGCTCCAATTCCCCTGGAGCCTTTGGAAGTTAGAGGCTGCTCATTCTTTCACATTCCAGACTTCAGGGTCGGAAGTGGGGGCTGGTGCCCTCTTTGTTTTCATTATTGTCTCCTAGTTATTATTCCTCTATCCTTAAGCAGAAGGCTCTGCTCATAGGAGGCTGGTACCAGCTTTGTCTCGTCTGTGTGCACCTGCCACCTACTGCCACTGACTGACTGTAGCATCTGGCTCATAGTCTTTCTTTACACCCATGACCTAACATCCTGAGGGACTATGAAGCCTACATGAATGACCAGCCCACCCCTGGCTTCCAGTTCACTAACTGGCTCAACCGTATTGACTTCCATTCACAGGCACAAAACTTCAGACCCTCGTCATCACCAAGACGAGCTCCACTTCTGCAATCTTTGGTCTAAATACACTGTTCTTTAGCCCCATTTCCATTTATTTCCACTGCACTCCCTCTTTGATCCCATTCAAATTCCCTTCCAGATACTTCTGTGACCCTTTCCTTCCAGCCTCCTGATATCTCCACTTCTCTACTGACTTAGCTTAGATACCAAGATCCACTATATCCTGTAAGCAGCCACTCCAATCTTCATGGTTTTGTTTTATGTCTTTTTATTTTTGAGAGACACAGAGCGAACGGGGGAGGGGCAGAGAGAGAGGGAGACACAGAATCCAAAGCAGGCTCCAGGCTCTGAGCTAGATGTCAGCAAAGAGCCCGACACGGGGCTCGAACCCACGGACATGAGATCATGACCTGAGCCACCCAGGTGCCGTTCATGGGTTTTTAAACTCATTCCCATGGTGTAGTTCAAGTAAATTGGACACAGCACGTGAGCGTGTGTGCATGCGTGCACACACACACACACCCTCCAAAAACAAAAGCCTAGAAAGTCTTACTTTATGTAAGAATGGAAACAATGTGAACTCCTTACTTTTAAAGAATTGTCAGGAAGAGAGTCAAGTCAAAGCTGGAGGGTCTGGTGAACTGTAATCGGTTTCTGTTATTGCCACACGGTGGCGCCATTTTAGCTACTAAACAGACCTCACTGCTGTTTACTTTCCATGGGACTTGTGGGAGTGGTCACGATGACTAATGTGCTGTTATTTTACAAACTCTGCTGTTATAACTTGTTATAACTGACAATATTTTCATATCCTACAACAATCTCTCTCAAGCATTCAGAAGCGGTGGTTCTGTGATAGCGCTAAAAAACACAGCCCCCCAAACAGTAACTCTGGAACAGAAGTTGGTTGTGATAAAACACTATGATGAAGAAGGCCAAACATCCACTACGATGCCCTGTGTTTTCAATTTGGAAGGAGCACTCCAGAAAAATTAGAGGTAATGAGGCAAACACTGAAGAGAAGCGTTAAAGCAAAAATGTGCTACAATACTGTATAGTCACAAAATACTCCCTTTACATCTTTTTTTTTTTTAGGAGAAAATTAAAAAATAGGCTTAGAGGATGAGTTTCATTTCACGAGATGACCTTGGAAACACACTGAATGTGCAAATGTTAGGTGCCTCCATAAGATACCCTATTTCCCCTCCCTCTTCCAAGAGACGCTTCTGTTTCCGGAGCCATGTGCAGGCAGACAGTGAATGGTGTGGGGGTTCTGAGCATGCACTTTGGAGCCAGACTGCATATGAACCTCCCAGTTCCACAGTGTTCTGGTTGTGTGGTTTTGGGGAAGTTGTTTAACCTCTCTGTGCATCAGTTTCTCCATCTGAAAAGTTAGAGTGAGACACTACCACACACCTCCAAGGGTTGTGTGGATTTAAGGAGTTAATGCCGCAAGACACTTGGAACTCCACAGGGCGCTGAGCGACCACTACGTGTGGCCCAGTCTGTAGTCACCACCACCAGGGCCTTCTCATCAGCCCTTGATACTTGTAAGATTGACTTATTTCACTGGACTAAAAAAGTAAGGTGCTTCTTTATTCACAGTATATGGCGTGGTATGAAGGTGTTAGTCCTTCTTTGGCTGTTTTCTTCTGGAAAACTGTCAGAATCTCTCTGCATCACAGTTCTGTGAACCAGCACGGAGCAGAGGAGGCAGTAAAGAACCTTTTCTAGCACAAGTACTGGTAAGTGGTAGGACTCTGAGTAGAGCCTGCTCAGATACTAATTAATATTTATACCAAGTGACACAAGCTCACATTTCCTTCACAGTCTTACCTTCAGCCTGTCTTTGGGCAGCGCGACGGCCCCCTGCTTGATGATTTCCAGGACCCGTTCCACGGAGAGCTCGGCTCCAGCTTGCAGCAACCTTGAACTGAAGAAGGTGATCACCTGGAATGAAAAGCATTATTTTTTTAAACAAGCAGATGTACATGCTGCCTTTCTCACATGGCAGGCCCATCTCCTAGAGTGACCCGGCTTTACTCCGCTAGCTCTCCTGCATGTGGTCCTCTCTCAAAGGGTTTGATGGCTGAGACAGAGCCAGCGTCTGAACATTCCAGGCGGATGACCCATGCTGTGGCTTAAGCAAGCCTCCGGGGTTCTGCTCTTTCAGTGTGCTGCCTCCCCTTGCATTTATTTATATTGCATTGAGAGGGTGGCACCCATCAGAAGGTGGGAAGAAAAAGCTAAAGCTTAAAATCTGTCAATTTTGAGGCTTACTGACTGGTAACTCTCAAAAAAAAAAAAAGGCTTAATTAGAAAGCAATTTGAAGCTAATGGCTAAAATGATATTTGGGGGATCATTTATTAGTGGAATGTATTCGCCACACTCTTATTGCTGATCAGCAGGGAGAATCAACAGCAAGCTAGAACTGCTTTTGTTTCATGTCACAGCACAGCCTGAACTAGGCAGCAAGATGCTAACAATAGAGGTGCTCTGCAAATAACACTGTCCTTTAATATTGGTCACTAAAGGGTCATCTGGGTGGCTCAGTCAGTTAAGTGTCCAACTTCAGCTCGGGTAATGATCTTGTGGTTCGTGGGTTCGAGCCCCGCATCAGGCTCTGTGGTAACAGCTCAGAGCCTGGAGCTTGCTTTGGATTCTGTGTTTCCTTCTCTCTTTCTCTGCCCCTCCCCCACTCATGCTCTGTCTCTCAAAAATAAATAAATGCTAAAAAAGTTTTTTTTTAATTTAAAAATAGTCACTAAAAACTAAAAGAATGCCATTATTTTTTTTTTTTAGGAAATCATTTTAAGATCAAGATGTTAATAAATTAAGAAGACTATAGGCCATTTTTTAATTCAAGAGAACAACCTAAGTATTTACAGTCAGACGCATAAAAATATAATAATTTGTTTCATTAGAAAGTTGAATATTTTCATTTATAGGTTTTCTATTTTATGTGTGAAAGTGAAAAGCTAGTTTAAAAAAATTACCTAACTGCAGGTACAAAATACCTTTTTCTACTCATTAAGATCATTAAAATGAATCTGGATGACTAACAATCCTGGGTCTTACTCATCACAAAGGCTTCACATTATCAACAGCAGACACAGTATCAGTCAGAGTCAAAGCACCGTCCATCACAGTAAATAGAAGCACGCGACGCAAACGCCCTGCTCGACGACCTTTCTGCCACCGTCTCCTGTGAGACGAGGAGGGCTCATCAGTGTTTTCACCCTGTCATGTGGCATCTGTTCCAGCACGAGGGGGACACCGGCTCTGCCATTTCCTTTTTGTCACATGTCTTTATATTCACTGCCTTGGATTTCTGGCTCCTTTGCAGGACTCTTACCAATCCTCCATCTTAGAGGCTCTACTTGGTTAAATCGAGATTTACAGTCATGAATAACATACATTGCGAGGAACTGCAGCTGAACGAAAGGTGCGAGTGCCGGCCGAGCCCTCCGGGCTGAGAAGTCCCCTCTCCTCCCTGGGACACCTGGAGTCCTGCAGCTGGTATAGAAAGCCCGGCAGGCTGTCCGTGCCAACCCTAAGTATGAGGAAAACTCAAGCCCTTTATTTTTAGATGAAGAAAGAAAAGCTCTGATACGGTTTTCCCATGCTGCTATGGGCGGCGGGTACAATCTTCGGGGTACATGTCCCCATCCGCTTTGGAGACTGCTGATGGAGAGAAGAACGTGTACAGAATCAAAGCGAAGCAGACTGCACGGTGTTCGAATCCAGATACCGCAAACTGCACCAGAGAGCGCGACATGTCACAGCATCACAGAGGGAAGGAATGCAAGGACAATCCGTTCCTGGCCGCTCTGTACCGCATGTGCACTTGCCTCTTGGCCTCAGGGAACTTCCGTCCCCACCAGGAGAGCTGTGGGGCAGGCAGGAGACTCCGTTTCTCAGTAGATTCCTTTTCTCAAACTGGCTCCCATCTGTCTGTTTTAAGCTGATACTCTCTTGTCGCATTCAAACTTGCCCCATTGAAAAAACGATACACCTACCGCTTCCAGAAGGGATGTATAATATAAGTATCGAGAATGAAGGGAATGGACACCTACTGCATGTTTCCCATGGACCCTGTGCTCTACTATAAGTTAATTCTCGCCACAATCCAGTGAACTGGTAAAGCTCTGTCCTACAGATGACTGAGCAGGACGAGAGACCGAGAGAGACGCTTGCCCCAGGTCAGCCAGATCAGTGTCTGGAGGGGAACCGGCGCTTAGATCCTCTTCCTTACTTCACCGTGCTGTCTTCAGCCGTCCTTACATAACAAAAGCCTTACTTTTCTTTTTCTTTTTTTTTTTTTTAATGTTTTATTTATTTCTAGGAGAGAGAGAGAGACAGCGTGAGCAGGGGAGGGTCAGAGAGAGAGGGAGTCACAGACTGAAACAGGCTCCAGGCTCCGAGCTGGCAGTCAGCACAAAGCCCGACGCGGGGCTCGAACCCACGAACCGCGAGATCATGACCTAAGCGAAAGTCGGACGCTTAACCGACTAAGCCACCCAGGCGCCCCAAGCCTTACTTTTCTTAATGGAAAATATTTGAGGTGAAAGGTATAATTGGTTTAGCCCCCAATTTCATTTGGAGTCAGGCTGCCACTTTCATTCAGGGAGCCAAGAATGTGAAACAATTTTTTCAAAGATACAGATTTGGGGGCATCTGGATGGCTCAGTCGGTTGAGTGTCTGGCCTCTCGATTTCGACTCAGGTCATGATCTTACAGTGTGTAGGTTCAAGCCCCGCATTAGGCTCTGTGCTTACAGTGTGGATCTTGCTTGGGATTCTCTGTCTCCCTCCTTCTCTCTTTCAAAACAAATAAATACACTTAGAGAGAAAAAAAGATACAGGCTTGTATTTCCTACCACTGGGTTAGAATTTTGCAGACAATAGTAAATTTAGTGATGATTTTAAGAGTTGGGTGGCTTTTATCAACTTTCAGAGCAACCATTAAAACTGTTAAAAATGGTCAACTTTTTTTTCCCCCTCTGAAAATGTTTCCAGAGGTTAGTTAATAATAGAAAAAATTTACAGTGAAAATGGGAATGAGCGATACGTTGGTGCAACTCAAAGGCAACTTTTCAAGGGAAGAGACTTCTCCCTGGCCATGCACAGCTTTCCTCCACCCACCATGTTTGGCTACGATTCCTGAAATCGAAGTACAGCACGTTACCTATTAAACAACTAATGATGCTATTAGTTGTTCCAAGGTCATGTTCTGATTAATCAGCTGTACCCTTTGAGTAATGTCACAGTCACATTTAACCACTTATCATGAAGGCAGTGAGTGATCACTAGAACACAGATTTATAGAAATAAGAGGCTTTGGTGGGGTAGATGAGGGTAAAAAAGAAGTAAGTCTGCGTTAGAGAGGCATTCTTACTTGCTAAATGGCCATTCTTCCGAGAAGTAAGAGTAGAGAGCTAAGTTTTTTTTCTTTTTAAGACAATAATAAACACATTTTGAAAGGTAAAATACACATGTATTTTCTATTGATTCTTAGTTTTCCCTCAAGTGTTTTTGTTTTAATCAATATGTGTGTTAACAGGCTGTTCGGTGGGAGAGATCTCCAGAAGATTTACAAAGACCATAGATGATATTTTCAAGAAAGACGCAATGTAATTGGAGAACAAGTTGCAGATTAAACGTGTATGATTAAATGGATTAGACATCGTGGTAATGTGGACTGTGAAGTGCTCAAAGCCGGAAGGCATAGTTTGGGTCCTGCTCTGGATACTTACCAGCACCCTGACTTGTAAAGACACTCAGCCTCCCCCGTGTAGCATCCTACAGCAGCTCAGGGCACCTACCAGGTGTCAGATGCTTGGGCTTAATCCCTAGCTCTGCTTATAAATGTAGACAGGTTATTTAACTTCTCTATGCCTCAGTTTCCTGATCTATAAGTGAGGAAAAACATAGTGCTTGCCTCACGGGGGTGTTGTTAAAATTAAATAAGTTAATACCTTCAAAGTGCAAAGAGCAATGCCTGGCACCTGGTTAGGTGCTCATGAAGTGTCAGCTTCTGGCATTATTAGGTGTATCTCAGTATCGTCATTTATAAAGTGACAAAGGGGCCCTACCTACCATGTAGGAAACAATTGTAATACATGTGAAAGTTACGGATAAACCAAACCGGACAGGAGTAGCGAGTGTGATCTACTGAGAATTCCAGGAAAGCCTGCTGGTGAAAATCCAACGTGATCATCTGAGGGTTGATCCTGTTCCTGAGGGTCAATTTAAAACTGCTATTTTTACTTGATGAATTTATGCACTACCTTTGTCTTTCAAAAAAAATTATATTTTATTATTTTCGGAAAATTGAAACAGTACAGTGCTGAGGAAGTTTTGAGGGTCTGCATTTTTTTTTAATCATGAAAGAATGCTGAATTTTGACAAGTGTTTTTTTGCATTTATTGAGGTTACTATATGGTTTCTCTTCCTTCACATTCTCTAGTCTGTTAATGTCGTTACATTAGCCTTGAATTCCTGGGGAACATAATAATTGAGCATGCTGCATTATTCTTCTGATACACTGCCAGCTTCAATTTGCTAATATTTTGAGGATTTTTGTGTCTGTGTCTATGAGTGACATGGATGTGTGATTTTCTTTTCTGGTAAGATCTCTGTCTATAGTGGTATTAGGGTAATAATGTCCTTATAAAGTGAGTTGGGAAGTATGTCCTCCCTTTGTATTATATGGAGGAGTTTATACTGAGATAGTAATATTTCTTTCTTAAAAGTCTGGTAGAATTCAAGGATGAAGGCAGCTAGGCCTGGAGTTTTCTTTGTAGGTAAATTTTTTAAGTATTAATTCAGTGTCTATTAAAGATACAGAACTCTTCAGATTATCTATTTCTTCATGAGTAAGTTTAAAAACATTTTTTTAATGTTTTATTTATTTCTGAGAGAGAGAGAGAGAGAGTGTGTGTGAGCAG